TAGTGGTCCTGAAAGTGCGCAGATTTTGCCGATCAAGTGTTAAAGTGTCTGGCATTCATGAGAATGTAAGTCCAGAAAATTGGAAAAAAGTGTAAAAGTGAAAATTTGGCAGCCTACGGGTGGGTAAGACCAAATAAAGAAATTTGAAATTGTTAGTGAGTGAAACAAAAATTTGGCAGCCAAAAGGGTGGGTAAGACCAAATAATGGAGTAAAATAAATTTGGCAGCCTAAGGGTGGGTAAGACCAAATAGTGAAGTTTGAATTGAAGTGAATTGCAGTGAGTCAAGGCGCTGAGGAGTGAGTATTATTAGTGATTGAAGTATTATGCCAGCGCAAGTGAGTGAAGCAACCCAGACTACACATAGTGTAAGTTCAGTGAAGTGTTGCGGTACCTGAGTCTTTGACAGAGGCAGGATGTAACAGGCATCCTTTGAGTGGTTAGTTAGTAGTAGTATTCGAGTGTTAGTATTAAACCACGAGCCATCCTAAAAGTACACGGGAAAACGGCACCGAACTGCACACTAACTATATGTTAGTGTTGTGGAGTTTGACTTCATTTAGTCGTGAAATAGTGATAGTGATGCAATTCAGTGAAATTAAGTGATTGGGCACAGTGTGAAGTAGTGCCGCAATAGAAAGTGTGAAAGTAAAAAAATGGAAGTGAAATAATAAGTGAGGAAAATAAAATAGTGTGAAAGTGAAAATAAAAAGTGAAATGCTTATGGACAAGCAGTGTGACCAATCCAGGACGTGCGATTGCCTTGATGGGAGCTGCTGTATGCACTGTAGACGACTGCTACCAGAAGAAAAATAAAATGTGGAATAGATGACAAATTTTGTGATGTTATGTAAATTGTTGTAATTTTAATTTGTTGTTTTTCTTTTTGCCCTTTTGTCATCCCACATTTTTTTTTGTATTTTGTAGTGAGTGAGTGTTAGAGTGAGACTAGACGAACTGGCTTAGTGAAATTGTATTGATAGCATGGAAGCTATAGTGAATGTTTAAAATTGTAAAGCTTCGGCTTTAAGTGAAAGCCGAACCTTTTTTTCAAGGGGGGAGGTGTTGTGTATGGGCGTCAGCCCTTGAAGTGTTTACTATAAAAGCCAGTTAAATCGTCAGTCTTGTCGGATCATACTAGCGGGGCTAGTCACTGATCTCCTTCGTCTGTCCCATTCCCTTCGCCTACACATTGTTCATTTCTACGTGTGATAAAGTGTTATTATTGTGCTCGTCGCATTAGTTAAATCTCGGACACCTCGGGTCGTAACAGAGTACTAGTATTTTATTAATATTTTTTAAAATAACTAATCCTTAGGGGTGTAAAAAAGTTCCGGTTTGGCCGGAACCGATTTGTAAACCGGAGCCGGAACCGGAACCGGAACCAATTTGAGTTCCGGTTCCCGGAACCGGAACCGGAACCAAAAAAACACCGGAACTTCCGGAACCCGGAACCGGAACCGGAACCTCCGGCGAAACCTAATATCAGGGTATCTAGAGGGATACCGGGAGATTTGGGGTCTAGATACGGATTCGAAGTTTCTTTGAGCCGCTCCATTATGGAATAAAATAAATTTTTAAATAAGGGCTTCTCTTGACCTCCACTTTTCCCGACCAACCTCTACTAGACAGCTGGATCTCCTTAAAACTATTATATAACATACCAGTACGTCCATATTTGTTTGTGTGATGAGTTCTGTTATGTTTATAAAATTCCTCAATATTATTACTTTTAAATGTAAGCTTAAATTGAAAATATACACAAAATTTAATTAAAATTTCTTTTTTACTTTGGTTTCACACTTGAGACAATAAATAAAATATCCATTATCCTCGATAACCTTGTAATTTTCTGCATCGCTTCTGTGAAGTTTCAAAATCCATCTTTTATATTTCACATACATTTTTAATGGATCAGTTTGAGTTAAATTATTGCGAGGTTTTGGAGGTACAGGAACACGATTTGGAATTAAACGGGACGATGATGAACCTTCTCCAGAGGAAAGAGGGGGGCACCTTCCATGTATTTGAGTGCCCCACGGAGGGGGGCACATCCTTAACTGATGTGAGTTGGGCTCACTCCCAACAGGTAGTGAGGGAGCCAGGTCAGTGAGTGAGTTCCCAGGCGTTATAATTGAATTTTGCCGAACATTTTCCACTGAATTATTAATATTTAACTGTTGCCAAGGCGTATTTCTATGAAAATCATTACGTCCAAGCAGTCCTGGATTTATCAAAAAATTTTGTTGTGAAGGCCAAGAATGATCTTCAAAATTTCTTTCATGATCATAATTTGAATTGTTAATATTATTTCGTAAAAAGTCATTTCCTCCACTTTTAGTTGTTAAAATAATATTTGTAAGAGAAAATATTACAAAAATTAATTTCATTTTTAATTAATAATATTTTTTTAAAATTATTGTAAGCGGATCTCGATTACAATTTTAAATGTTATCTTCAATTTTCTTTATGTTACCCTCAATTTCTTGCTATAATATTAAATGCTTTCACCCTAGGGCGACGTAAAGTTATTATTATTATTAAATTATTATAATAAAATTTTTTTCATTTAATATGTATGAGATTGAATTTAAAAGGAGAAGCTATTTTATAAAAATTTTTTTATAAAGATTAAAAAAGTGCAAGTTTTTTTGTTGAGAAATTAATTACATCATTTTTGCCCTTTAATATAAAAATTATTTCAGAAATAGGAAGGGGAAAATGTTTAATGAACTTTTAAATTTGACTTTTTAATTTAAATTATTAATAATTTCATCATATTTTTAATAATAGACAGGAAAATAATAATGTGTCCTTTAATAATAATTTTTAAGTTGAAAATTTAGAAATTAAAAACGGAAATCAAAAAAACAAAAACAAGTATATCAGACATTTAATTTTTACATGTATTAATTTATTTATTATCATTAGATTAAGCTTTTCAGAAGAAGATTAATTTTGATTATTTCTAAAATATTTATTTTTATTATTCCAATTACCGTATTTACCCGATTAATTCCTCTCCCTTGAATAATTTCACACTCTCGAGTTGAAACAATGATCCCCCACCCACAAATACCCTACTACACGTTCAAATTTCAAAACTCGAATAATTCCCCTCCCTTGATAAAAATTCCCCTCCCCGAATAATTCCCTCCTAAATTCCCCTCCCCGAATAATTCCCCATGCTACGGATTGGTTGAAATATAATTCCCCGGGGGAATTAATCGAATAAATACGGTATATCTACTATGCTTTTAAGTATTTAATATTTAAAATTTTACTTATTTTTTCCCGATATGTTTTAGGTTTCACTTAAATGAAGTTTCACCAAATTCCTCGTGGCCAATGGCTTTATGTTTCATAAGAGGCGTTTTGTTAGGAAATGTTTGACAAAAAATTTTGTTAACTTTTTTTTTAAATTATCAAATTTTGTTTTGGTATTATAAATTTTTGGATCATTTCTGATCTTAGAAAGATTTAATAAATTTATTTTATTCTTGTAAAGAAAATATTTTTTAATAATTAAAATTAAGATAAAGAAAAAATATTGACTAAAATTATTTAATTAATTTAAATATTTTAATTAAATTAAAATATATTTGTCAATTAACACTTTTCAAATCATGATAATTCCGTTCCCAAAATATGCTAAAGCCATATCAAAATTGTTCATATTACGTTCTTGTCGATTGAAAGATTCTACTTCATTTTGAATTTCAACATTTAAATTAAAGTTTAAATCTTGACGGCAAAGGGGGCAGGTTTTGTCCTTCTCTAACCTGTAAAATTATAAACATACATAATATTTTCTTGATTAATTATCCTTATCGAATAATTGTCTCTCTCTAGCGAGAGGTTGAAACAATGTGTTATCTACAGAATAAAGCTATCTTGAAAAATTTGTTATAGAAAGTTTCGAATGGATTTTCAGAACAAATTTCTTAGGCTTAGAAGGGTAACTAGCATATAGAGAAGATTAGCGGATGAGTGCAACGCTTGAAGTCTGATTTTTCATTTTTTCAAACATTTTTGTTCTTCACGTAGAAAATTGTTTGCTTCAGAACAATTTTGTTAGGTTTAGAGGAAGGTAGGTAGTGTAAAGCACATAGTTATTTAATTCTTAAGGCTATGCAGTAGGAGACGTGGCGTAATGGATAACACATCAGTTCGATCTACTCAAGATGCTGGTTAGCTCCAGCCGCCGATTAACCCTTTGCACTAGATAAAGGAGAGAAATACTGTATTTATTCTAATTGAATGGCACCTCTATTTGAATGGCACATTTTTGAATGAATGAAAAATAGAATGGCTGCTTATATTTGAATGGCACTTCAATTGAATGACATTTTATGTGGTATTGAAAAATAAAATGGCTGCCATTCTATCAGAATAAATACGGTAGCTTTTGAGGGAGGTAGGTAGTGCTTCAATTTATAAATTTTTAACAAAAAATAAATTTACCAATTTCGAATGCAAGCAACATGGAATAAATGCTTAAATTTAACAAACTAAATTTACAAAATTAAAAAAAAACTTGGCAAGAAGTTTTCTTTACTTTATCGCCAATTTTATATTCTTCTAAACATATACTACATTCAAATCTATTTTCTTCAATATCCTCAATATTTTGATTAATCTCAAAATAATCAACAACTTAAAGAAATTAATATTTAAATTCTTAAATTAATTATGATAAAAATAAAATTTTCTTACGATATGGAATATCGTTCAAATAAAATTGATTTGTATTGAAACGCTTGTATAATTTTGAAAATTTGATAAATTTCAGACCATCCTCGTCTTTTTCATAAAAACTGAAAAACAAATTATTTAAATCAAAACTAAGTATTCAGCAATCCTTTAGTTAACGTATGTATTAATTTAATTATATAATTTAGGATAGCACCCGAAGCCCTCGGGGGCGCTATCGGCGAGGATCGGGGTTTGTAACGGTAGAGTCTTTAGGGTTAAGGTCGAGGGACGGGGTGCTACCCTAATTTAAGTTAATAACCTATCTTCATTAAATATTTCTTTGCATTTTTTGAGTTGTTCAAATTCTGGAGTATTTTCTTTATAAATTTGCAAATTCAAAGAGTTTTCTGGTTTATCTATTTTATCCCAATCCAAACGGTAAACTAAATTATTATTTATCCAAGGAATTTTAAAATAATCTTGCATGGCTTTTTCTTCATTATTAACCCTTCTTGGTGCTTCTATTCCGATTACAGTATCCTCTCCAAACTTTTTGTAAAGAAAATTTGTCAGACAAAAGGATTGAGCATCTGAGAAAATATTTTTTATTTTATCTTTTATTTTTTTTGAAAGACTTGATGATTATAATAAAGCTGATTCACTCCTTCAGCTAATACAAAATGGGTAAAAGTGCGGACAAAATGCGGACACTTTTGCGGACATATAGATAGCGAGCTGGACTTTTGCCTACAAAATGTAAGAGAGCTAGTTCGGACCGGCATCTTCCGTTGACCGGAATCTTTGGCTGTGTTTTAAGCAATTAAAAATCTCTGATTAGGATTTGTTAACATTCGCCCCGGTAATTATATTAACTGGCGCTGCTTAATAAAGCGTTTAAATTGAGACGTCGGATCTTGTTTCTTGCCATAATTTATTCAAATTTTTAGGATTTCAAGCTTTTAATCAGAGTGCCCAATCTCGTGAAAGGCAACTTAATTTTGTATTGGATTATTTCCCTTTATTACCAAATCCTTTAAAAATAACAAAATATTTCAATCCGATTACCCGCTAAAATTAATTATGTATTTACCCAATTTCTTTTGATATTCCTTAGTTAAATTCATATATTTTACATGACCAAAAAGTTTATCAACAACCAAATTCTCTCCTTTAAATAATTTTTTATTCTTTTTAAAACAATCATTTCCCAAATTTTTCTTTTCAATTTTTAAATTTTTAACAAATTCTTTTTGAATTTTTCTTTGAACTTTCCAACAATTTCTACAAAATTTTTTTGAAGCAAAAATTTCTGTTTGAATATTAATTTCAAATAAAAGATAATTAACAATACATTCTTGTTTGGAAGAAAATTTGTTTGGAAAACAAAATGGGGGGAAGGAAAACAATAAAATTGGAAGAAAAAACATTTCTTTTATTAACTGGCTTTAGTGTAATTTATGAGTCAAATGAACTTTTATGAGTCCAATCAAAATATTTTTTTATATTTTCAATTTTTCAAAAATACTGTTTTTGTGATATAATGGGGGTAGGTCGGCATTTCAACGCTGAAAATCGGTAAAAGGCATAAATTTTTGGGTACGGCCCACTTTGTCGCGCGGCCACATTGTCGCAGAGCCATAACTTCCTTCAAGTTTTCCGAATCTTACCAAATTTAGTATTAAACGATTCCTCTCATCGAGCTAAAGAGATTGGTACCAAAATTGATAAGGGCCAGAAATTTTTTAGCAAGTTATGGCTCTGCGACAATGTGGCCGCGCGACAAAGTGGGCGTGTCCCTAAATTTTTGTTACTGTTAGAGAACCCTGCGACATTGACTTCAGTGAGACGCGTCTTCGCGCGGGGTTGAGCATTTTACAAGTGTCTCGCTGGCACCCATAGGTTTACGTTGTTTGTCCACAAGCAAATAACACCCTATAGTCACAATAGCCAAAAAGGAATTTTGATTGGACTCATAAAAGTTTAGTAGACTCATAAACTTCACTAGTGCCAAAAATTTTTAGAATAATCCGCGATATTAAATAATTTTTGAATAATAATATTTTAATAAATAATCTTAAATAATTTATTAATTAATGAAGGAAAGATAAAGAAAAATTGCCGAATATTTCATTAATCAATTACTCTGTATATTGAGTAATTATGAAATCTAAATTGCCTATACAAATACACAAATTACGAAAATAAAATTCCGAAAAAATTCCGACAGAAAATGCCGATAAACTGAATTTCTAGTAACTATGATGGAGAATATTTTTAAAAATTTATAAAATATAATGAGGGAAGTATCCTGTAAGTATAAAGATAATATCTGAACGGAGATAGATAAGGAAGGGTAATAATTTCTGAAGATCAAACTGATTCTGATGGATGAGTTGATACTTAAATTATGTAAAGCATATAGCTATTCAATTCACAAGTCAGTACTATTCAATGCATAAGACAAGTCATTGAGATTGTTAAGATTTATTGTTAAAATTTTAAAAATAAAATTTAAAAAATTTTATAAAATTTTTTAAAAAATACCGAATACCGGCCGGTATACCGAAAATGTTGAGACGGTATTTTCCGGTATCGGTATTTTTCCGGTATACCGATACCGATACCGTACCGGTCAATTTTTGTAAAAAACGGTATTTTTCGGTATCGGTATTTTTTCGGTATACCGATACCGAATACCGGAAAAGGTCATTTGCCGAACACTACTGAATATGCTGGTCTCCCAGCCGCCGATTAACCTTTTGCACTAGCTAAAGGAAATAGTTATAGCCCAGCTGCTTTACTCTTAGCCTTGATACAATTAAGAGATTTTTAGTTATAATGACCGTTAAATAAAATGAAGTTTAGGTTGCACGAATATACAATATCGCGCACAGAAATATGGATTTATGTAGATAGGATCCGCGCTAATTAGCATTTGTGGAATTTCAATTATTATTGACAGAATATTAAAAATTTTTTAATTATTAAATAAATTTAAATAAAAAATTTAAAGCAATAAAATAATTATTTATTTAATAACAAATTCCCAAGACTATAATTTCAAAATCAAAATTTTTTTCCTAAAGTGCATTTAAAATTATATGAATTTAAAAATTGTCTTTTTTATAAGACTCAGACTTATTTTAAATAATTAAAGCCCGGCTCTATTAGAAGCTCATATCTAAACCAAGCCACCCAAGAAGGCCCATCAAAAAACAGACGCCCATTCCCTGAAAGCCCACATCTAATACATATAAGCCCACCTAAAAATTTTTACGTGAAATTTAAATTAAATTTTCTCTAAAGTGATGTAAAACAAAAATAAAAGTAAAAAATCTTTTTATAAATTTATTTTTTAAATTTCGTTAGGAGTTCGATAGCATAGAGCAGTGGAATTAGAAACTTTCAAAAATTTATTCAAGGACTTTAGAATAGTATAATTGCTTAAAAACTATGGATTTTATTTTTAATAAAAATTTATCGAAGTTTGATCTTAAATTTTTTTACCAAATTTATATGTACTACTTCTCAAAATTAAAAATTAAGATAAAATTAAAAATGTTTTAAAAAACAAATTAAAATTCACTCAATTATTTTAAATATTTTAAAGAAATTTCTTCTTGTCGATACTCATCTTTCAAAACACACCTACGTTCCCGATATGTGACATAGTAAAATAGTACAGATCACGTTCATGTTGAAGTCTTCTGTAGTAACTATAGTTGGACTCTCCTTCATTTTGAACTTTATAATTCAAATTAAAGCTTATATCTTGACGGCAAAGAGGGCAGGTTTTCTGGTCCTTTTCTAACCTGTAAAATTATTGATATACATTTTCTCGATTAATTATCCTTTCTTGAATAATTATCTCCTATAACGAGAGGTTGAACAACGAATTTCCATATTAATTTTTAGAGAAGATTGTAAGGATATATCACCTTAGAGCAGGGCTCGGATCGACAAAATGCCAATAAAAAGTACAAAAATCTTGATTTTAAAGTACATAGGGGCAAAATTTCCACATTTAAAGTACACTTAAAATTAAATTAGAAAATATTTATTCGTGCTCAAATCTTTTATATTTCTCTCTTAAATTAATCTTTTCTAATAATTTCTTGTTTCAACTTAGCATTTTGTGAATTTCAATGCACTTTTTTGTGGAGCCGAAGGCGCCAAAAAATCTATTTTTTTGCGCCGCAGGCGAAAATTTTGAGAATTTTGGAGGTCCTTAGGCCAGATTTCTTCCATTTTTTGCGCCGCAGGCGAAAATTTTGAGAATTTTGGAGGTCCTTAAGCCAGATTTCTTCCATTTTTTTCAAAATGTTGATTTTAAAGTACATACTTTCAATAAAGTACAAATTCAATTTCGTAAGTACGGAGGTCGATTTTAAAGTACTGTACTTTCAAATAAAGTACGAATCCGAGCCCTGCCTTAGAGCATTTAAAACGCTTAGGCAGGAGTTTAAACGAGTTAAAAGAAAGTGCTGGTTGCTCCAGCCGCCGATTAACCTTTTGCACTAGATAAAGTAGAGAAATACTGTATTTATTCTAATTGAATGGCACCACTATTTGAATGGCACATTTTTGAATGAATGAAAAATAGAATGGCTGCCATTCTATCAGAATAAATACGGTAGCTTTGTTAGTCTTAAAGGGAGGTAGGTAGTGCTTTACACCCCAGCTGCTTTACTGTTTTGCATTTCACTTTATAAATTTTAAACAAAAAATTACCAATTTCGAATGCAAGCAACATGGAATAAATGCTTAAATTTAACAAATTAAATTTTAAAGATTAAAAGAAAAACTTGGCAAGAAGTTTTCTTTGTTTTATCGCCAATTTTATATTCTTCTAAACATATACTACATTCAAATCTATTTTCTTCAATATCCTCAATATTTTGATTATTCTCATCAATAATATTCTGATTAATCTCAAAATAATCAACGACTTAAAGAAATAATATTTTAAATTTTTAAATTAATTTTGATAAAAATAAAATTTCTCTTACAATAAGGAATATCGTTCAAATAAAATTGATTTTTATTGAAACGCTCATATAACTTTGAAAATTTGATAAATTTCAAGCCATCATCGTCTTTCTCATAAGAACTATAAATACTATGTATTAATAATTAAATGTAGAAATATTTTGTGGCCGTTTTTTAATTTCAATTTTAGGATTGTGGTTATGAAAATATCCTTTATTTATATCAATAATTATTCTTTAGTGCTTTTTATAATTATCCCAAAATTTGAAAATTTTTGGCAAGGCATTCATGGAGTTATGGGGCCTATTTTCTCCCCATTTTATTCACAGACCGAAGGACCTCCATTCTGACTTCTGCTTAAATGCCGTATTTTTAATTAAAAAAGGGTATAAATTTTTTAGAGAAAAATACTACATAAATGCTTAATTTAATAACCTATCTTCATTAAATATTTCTTTGCATTTTTTGAGCTGTTCAAATTCAGGAGTATTTTCTTTATACACCTC